AAAAAAAAAAAAAAAAAAAAAAAAAAACTATGCTGCCAAGGCTTTCCAAGTCCAGGCAAGTATTTATAGACCTGATTCAAGAACTTTTGCCTCTTATCCTTTGGATAGGGCCCAAATATAAGAAATGTGTTTTGTCTGGGCTGAAAATAAAGCCGTATTCCGCTCTTTACTGTAATTGCATTTGTAAAGTTTTGTTTAGCTTGTGTTTGACTTGCTAAAGTATAGGTATTTGGTGAGGAAGATGAGGTCCCTTCCAGCCTTACAATCTATGAATCTATGCTGAAGTTGGCACAATTTTTATATTTCTAGCAGTAGTGAAACTTTTGACTATGTAGGAGTCTTTTACCAGGTACTTAATTGCCAAGCTAAGAGATATAGTAGTAGTGACATTTCACTATATACTGGTGTTTACAAATATACTTATTTTAATTCTCTTACAGCTGTTGTTGGCCTGCTGTACCCCTGCATTGACAGTCATCTTGGAGAACCCCACAAATTCAAGAGAGAATGGGCCAGCGTAATGCGATGTATAGCAGTTTTTGTTGGCATTAACCATGCAAGTGCTGTATCCTTGGACTGGTTTTAAATTTTTAGTTGTTTGTTAAAATGAAACTCAATGGTTTGCCTAAACGCTTTCTCACATTTGTGCTTGGGAGACTTGCATAGATAAGACTAATGTTAATGGAAGAGATATGACCCTACTCTTTTAAAATCTGGTGGGGGAAGAGGGGGGTTGTTGTTATACTTTCTTCTAAAGTAAAAAAAACACCAAAAAAAACCACTGGCCGATTTGGTTTAGTAGTTTAAATATAACAACACTGTGACCTTAATTTGGCTTCTTTTTGCAGTTATGCTGCATAACTAGTTTTAAGACATTGAGTAAGACATGTCCCTCAATAACAGTAACTAAAAGAAAATTTTACATTGAGGAGGGAGGAATCTGGGTTATTTAAGACAGAAATGTTAGGAAGTGCCTTGCCATTGAATTAAGAAGACTTAAACTTTGGGCCTTTAACCTGATCTTTGGGGTTTAAGCATTTACCTGTTTAAGCCAGTGGGAGCTGTGCATGTTGAGTACCTTTCATGCATGTTGTGCATGAAAGTCTGCTCCAACCAAGGCTTCTTGTTCTGGTGCCCAAAAAAACAATAATTTTTGAAAGCTTTCATTCCTTCTTTGATGAAGTTTGATCTGAAACTGTGGCTGAAAAATATTAAAAGGTTATCCTTAACTTGTTTTAAATCAGAAATTGGATTTTGCAAACAATGTCCAGCTGTCACTGACTCTAGCAGCTCTGTCACTGGGCCTCTGGTGGACATTTGATCGTTCAAGAAGTGGTCTTGGTCTCGGAATTACGATAGCTTTTGTAGCCACTCTGATCACTCAATTTCTTGTATACAATGGTGTTTATCAGTAAGTATAGAAATTTAAAATTAGCACTTAAATTCTCTTCTCTCCCAAAAAAACGAAGCTTCCACTCTTGTAAAAATATGGAAACTGCCAATAACTAGGAACCTATCCAAATCATGATTTCACATCACAAAATTGGGTGATATCTGGGGGGGAGGGAGGAGGGGATTTAAACTTGCCACTGATTGGCTGAGAGGGCTGCCTGTCATGGGGCCCCACCTTCTCCACCAATCAGCAGTGAGGCCACATGATGGACAGCCCTCAGCCAATTGGCAGAGTGGGGTGGGGCTATATGATGGCCAGCCCTTTCCCCCAATCAACAGTTGGGGGGACCCCTTGACCAATGGGGGAGGGGGGGCTCCATGATGAGCCTGTGAAAATGGCTATCCCCTACCTTGAGCTGGGTAGACCCCTGCCAATAACCTTAAAGGTGAAAATGTCAAAATTTCAGAGCACGTGTGCGCATGCTTACATTTTAGTATTTCTAAAACACTGAGTCCACCTAATTGTCTTGTATCAAAACATTGTAGCAGGCGGTCATCAAGAGATCAAGGTCTGTACTGTTAGATCTTGGAGGACATTATGGGGTGGGAGGGTAGGAAGGGGGAGTTGAGACCTTTGATGGGTCTCCTCAAAGGACCAAACTTCTGCCCTCCTTGCAGAGCTAGTCTTGCCACTGACTAGTTCCAGATGTAGGGAACTGCTTGCTGAGAAATGAGTTTAATCCAGCATGAGGCTTTGTTTAAGAAGAATGAGGATTACTTATTCCCTGTCCTATGTTACCATCATTCCTGGTGGTGAATACATATGGCAGCATAATAGTTGGTGTAGGATGGTAGAAGCTTTTTCTAATTGACTGTTTTTTCTTCCCTAGGTATACATCCCCAGACTTCCTTTACATCCGTTCTTGGCTACCCTGTATATTTTTCTCAGGAGGTGTGACTGTAGGAAACATAGGACGGCAACTTGCTATGGTAATTGTGATTTGTACTTTTAGGGTTTGGGTGCATATTTGTTAATGGAAACCATCTGTGATGATCTGGCCCATAAATTGACTAACATACCTTTTTATAGAACCTCTTCCCAAGGCCTGAACTGTCTACATACATGCTGGCAGTGTGGAAACTCTGTTCTAGGCATTAGGTTGCTGCTGCTTCTAATTAAGAGATTTTATTCATTGAGGCTTTGTGTGGTTTTTTTGTTTAGCTTTTTTGGGAGGAGGGGGCATTTGGTATTTTTAATAAGGACTAGAATTGTAGCTATAATCAGATTCAGCATCTTAATTGGCAACAGTATTTGCAGGCCTACAGTGAAGATTCAGCCCCTTTTATTGGCCATTTGTCTCATCTAATATTTAACTTGATTAGAAGCTGGTGCTGCGGAGGCAGAAACAGATTCTCCTTTTTCAAGAACCATTTTGGTATTTGTTTGGTATTTAAATTGAAAGCTTTGAACCTCGGCTCTTCATATCTGAGATTAAATGTCTTCCACACTGTCTTCTGCATGTCATCTTAGGACAGTTGCTTCCAAATCCAAGACTATATTTCAAATTTTAAAATGCTCCCCTTCCCACCCCCCCCACCCCCCCGGAAAAATCTAAATTGGAG